TTTACAGATGTAATAGGTTTGATGAGAGTTTGTTTTATATTTTTATCTAAAATTACCTATCATCGTAAGAAGAGACAAGTTTGAAATAAAATGTAAAAATAAAGTTCCAAACACACGAGAATACCAAGAGATTTTTTTTATTTAATTACAATTATTTTTTATTTTTTGCAACGTATAGCATTTTTTAATTCATTTGAGAAATTATAATATAGTGCTGTTAAATTTCTAAATAACAGTGCAGTATTGTTAAATATCAAAACAACAAAATAAATAGAATTGTATCATATATGTAATTTGCAAAGTAATAAAACTGTAAAAGTATAGTGAATTATAAGGCATAAACCAATGAGTTATAATAAAAAATAGTTTATTTACACAAAAGTAGTCTTGATATTAACTTGATTAATAAAAAAATTTATCCATAATGGGCAACGTTTTTGCCCACAGGATATACAAGCAATACAATATATTATTTATCCATCATCCCAAATCGAGGCAGAACAATTTCACAGTGGGTTTGCACAGCGATGGATGCTTTAAGGTCAGCCTTATTCCGAAATAATCCAGATAACTCATAAGTATATGAAGTCTGCTATAATTATCTCAATCTTTATAATATTTATGAATTTTTTTCGAAGTAATGTAGAGAGAAATTCGTGATTTAATTTATATCTATCAAACTAATGCAAGACATATATGCATGTTGCTGTATTACTTTGATTTTTCTTTCGTAAATAAAATTATTTTTATTGTGCATTTAATATGCATAATGTCTTACAATTTTTTTCAGTATTCCAATCAATTGTTTATTTTATTTTTTTTATTTCATGTTAAATGTTATTTAAATGTTAAACGATGTTAAATGTAATATGCATATATGACATTAAATGTGACAATAATTGTTGAAGAAGAAGTAGAAATGTCATTGACGTTTAGCTTAGATTATATTGAGATGTTTTGGTTTGTTTCATGATTTTTTTCATTGCAACTATTCTTTCAACAATCTTCTTTTATTATATTTTTTATATCATCTATGTATTTATTCTTGTTTTTCTCTTTTATTTCATGATACTTTATTAGTATCAGGAATTTTCTTATCTACAAAATGAGAATGTTTGTGTTTGGTATTTGGAACTTTATTTTTATATAATTACTGAAATGATATTACTGATATGTTGCTCTAAGTATATCCTTAAAATATATTTATAACATACATTATTACAGCATAATTCTTTATATAATTCATTATATTGCTACAGGCCCATCTCAACCCGATGAAGATGATTATGGATACGAATCTCAGGCAGCTTCTGCATTGTACAATCAACTTATGAATAAATATAACAGTTTACCTCCGGAAAAACCTCTTTTTAGTGCTAGCGAAAGAACAGTGAAAGATATTGCATCCACAAAGGTATATTCTTTATGAAAAATTAAAGAAAATATTTCAAAAAAGTGTAAATTACATAATTTAATACAATTGCAATTAAAAAATGTGTAATAAAACAATAATAACTATCATAAAGTATGTTTTAAACTGGAAATTAAAAAAATTTTAAAAATAAAAAAAATTTTTTTTAAATATTATTTAAGCACTTTGATCGGATATATAGTTTTTTCCATTCATCTGTATATTACTATTATTATATTAAAAGTTCACAATTTCATTTCGAAAAAATATCTTTTATGATAATAATTCTCCCTCCCTCGCTCTCTCTCTCTCTCAAATAGAAAGAAATAAATCATTTTTTTCATATAAATAGGAAAGAACAAATATATAATGTTCTATATATACCATATCATTTTATATAATTAAATATTGTTTTATATGTTATAGGATAGAGTAAAACAAGCTCTGAAACAACAAGAACTTGAAGAAAGTAGCGGACATAGGAAAAAAAGAAAATCGAACATTTCAAATATAAAAGAAACTGAAATTGAAGAAAAAGTAGAAAAGAACAACAAAGAAATTAATAATAAAGTCAAAGAAGTTAAAGAAAACAAAGACGAAAAACTCAAAGTTAAAGAAGACAAAGACGAAAAACCCAAAGTGAAGAAAAAATTATCGCTACCACCTATAGGTTTTGCGGAACTTTTAAAACTCGCCGAGGTAAAGCAACATGAACCTGTAGTTCTAGAAGTCAAACCAAAAGTCGAAAATGAACGACCAATGACAAAACGTCAAAAAATAGAACACATACAAGAAAAAGAAAGGAAAGAGCAGCGTGAAAAAAAAGATTTAGAGGCGAATAAAAAGACAAGTACATCTAGCAAGCTTGATAAAACACAAGTGAACAGAATTCCTAAGGCTAATGAAAAATCTGTAATCTCAAATTCAACACCGAATAAAACGCCCAAATGTACAACAACCGTTCCTAAACAAATTACTGATAAATTCGATGGTAAATATAATATCGAAAAACCAAATTCAAACAAGAGCTCATTTCAGAATGAATTATTAGAGGAACGGAAAAAGTTAGAAGCTGAGAGAAGGCAATTGGAGGAAATGCGACGCGCTATCGAGGAAGAAAAGAAGAAATTAGTACATAGTAAAAATAAAATAGAAAACGTAAAATCTGAACCATTTGACAAATTAAATATGACTAAATCTAAATCGATAAATAAGCAAATATCCAAGGACATTAAATCGCGGCAATACCCACCTTCGGATTTAAAGTTACAGTCCACATTAGCTAATATTAAACCAAAACAATTTCCCCCATCTGATGTTAGGTCTACAAAATCTAACACAGTCGTCAAAAAAGTACCCAATAAAAGTAAGTTTAGTTATAAATTATGCAATAAGATCAAAGAATTTTATTTTAAAACTCAAACAATAATAATTTGAAACCTATTTAATTTTGCAGGACGTATCTGTGATGATGAGGAAGACTATTCAGATTTGATTGATTTTATAGACGATGAGCCAGAAGAAAACGAAGAAGATTATAGTAAACATATTAGCGAAATATTTGGCTATGATAAGAGTAAATATAGAAATATTGATGATGATGATGATACTGCTATGGAAAGTAATTTTGCGCAACAATTAAAGGAAGAATATATATCTTCAAAAATAGGTATTTATTTAAATAAACATTTATTTAATGAGAATTTTGTAACATACGTATAAAAATAATTTGAATAATTTGTTAATGTATAATTTAAAATTAAATATTTACAGGGTATATGGAAGATTTAGAGGACATGCGCATGGAAGCATTAGAAAAAAAGAGGAAAGCTATTTCGAAGAAGAGAACGATGAAATAGTATAAATTATTTTAGCTTTATACATATTATATGTAGCTTACATCTTTGAGGATATTAATATTTATAACTACACAATTCTTTAAGTTATAAGAATTGATATAAAAACATTAATTTACATTGATGTAAAAAGATATTTATAATATATAATATATAGTAATCAAAATATATATGTATTTCGATTACTATATATTATGTCTTATAAACAAATTTATAAAGAACCCTGTACACAATTTGTATTAAAAAAATCGTTTTCAGTCAATTTGTTTAAATTTGTTATATGTTATAATTCTTAAATTTACAAAGATAAAAACTGATTCCAATATAAAGGCATATGTAAGTGAAAATTGGTTACGCATACGCATTGAATAAAAAGCAATTTTACATACCTCTTATCACTTTACGATTATTTACCGACTATCGAGGATAAGAATAGCTTTCGTTCATCTTTATGGGTCTTCTACAATAAGCCATTAGTCACTAAAAATTGATGATTTTGATTGGTCAATTTTTAACTTCTGACTTCTGATTTATGACTAATGGCTTATTGTAGAAGGCCCATTACAATTGTTTTAAAGCGATTTAATTGCGCATGTTCAGTAGATGATATTGCACATGCGCAGTCATAGTTGAGTATAGGTTAGAAAATGATAGAGATACCACTTGAAACGTTCTTTGTCAGATCGCGAACTACCGCCAGCGCTCATTCCAAGGTCCTGCGCGCAATAGAAGGAATAAGGAATTAAGAATAAACGATTTTAACCTATCAGAAATTGGATACATCGAAATACACGGTTTCTGATAGGTTGAAATCGTTTATTCCTATAATTCCTCATTCTTTCTATTGCGCAAAGCCCACTACTCACTAGTATATTAAGCCTGCGGCACACGATGTTATTTTCCTACTGGATTGCTAGCTAAATTAGAATCTTGCCATCGTATTGGCCGCGGTGCTATCAATGCCAGTATCGCAGCCAATACAGTGGCAAGATTCTAATAGCGAATTCGATCACTAGCGCTACACTAGATCAGTGTATACTAAAAGCTACTTTGCATGAAATAACCAAAGTTAAATGTAAAAGTATATAAATATTTTAAACGATTAACTATAGACTAATGATATTGTCACATTATTTAACATAATATATGTGTATCATTTCATTGTCAAAATTGATTATATTGTATCACTGCATTGAGATAGTTTATATAAAGCAGCTTTTAATATGCACTGATCCAGTGTAGTGCAAGTGATCGAATTCACCATAATCCAGCAGGAAAACAAGCATCGTATTGTGTGCCGCAGGCTTTATTTTAGCGCCGAAAATGAAGGCCGCAGCACACACTCTTGCATAACGCATAGTGCATAAGCGAATCAACTAATCAGAATCTTTCCCTTCCTCACATTCCATGAAAAACTAGAACTGTGATTGGTTGATTCCTTTATGCACTATGCATTATGCGTTATGCAAGAGTTGTGTGCTGCGATCTTGAGCATTGATGAGCATCGAGCGTCAGCATGAGAAGACACGTAGAAGTTCATAGTTATTCCGATCAACGGACTCCCTCTCGGATCACGATTCGGCTGGATTCGGCGCACGAACGGTCTCACTTTTCTTCACGGATGGAGTTGGGTCTCCTCCTCTCTTATTTTTGTGGGTTTCTCTCTGGTGATATGTAAGTCTGTGTAGATATAAACAAGGACGTAACAATCTTTATTGAATGCGCGGTTTATCAACCTTGTTGTGAATGTGTGAGCAATTTGTACTCTGTCGAGAACGTGTGAATTGGTAACAGTCGTTTGTCTAACAACGAGAAAACCATTATGGCACAATTGTCTGCAACTACCGTAATCCTGTTGATTGTGTTTTAATTCATATGTTTTTTTTTATTTCAACTAATTACTATCAGTTCACATTGCGACTATGTCGTGGAAGGTAAAATATCGTTTAATATTGAGAAATAATGTTATTAGCTTTATCCTGGTTCTAAAATGAGTCAGTAGTAGATAATCAGAAGTTTTAACCGGTCTTAACCTTATGAGCCTACAATAAGCCATTAGTCATAAATCAGAAGTCAGAAGTTAAAAATTGACGACTGTGATTCGTCAATTTTTAGCTTCTGACTTCTGATTTATGACTAGTGGCTTATTGTGGAAGGCCCATTAGTCGTACAAATTAGTTGTTTGCAAATTTTACCGATTAAAACTTGGGATTGCTTAGGACAGAGCTGGAATTTAGTTGCAACATTTCGGCCGATTTTCAGCTTTGTTCCTGCCCCTTACTTCACCAACCTGCGCACAGCCGATATGCCTTAAATGCCGATCGGCCGAAACATGCAACTAAGTCCATGTTCGTATATTACTGCCAGTTGACTGCCAGTACTGAAAATCTATAATTCCTATTACGTATACTATATTATTGACAACTGGCAGTATACGAACACGGCCTTAATCCCAGTTCTGGCTTAGGACTACCGATTTACTATAGAATGCCGGTTACAATGACTTCAAATGTAATGCCAGTTTGTTAAGCTAGAGATATATGGAACTTTCCGGCAAATGACGCAGTAGCTATTCTCCAAAATTGATTGCCTATATCAAAAATCTATATTGCATGTAACATAAACTGTAACATTTTCAGTACTAGTAGTAAATTTAGAGCACAACCATTATGACACAGTGATCATGTCATCTTGGTTTAACATTTGCAAACAAGGATGTAATGGATCCACTGTGTTACACTGTTGTCACCTGTGTCTCTTGCTGAAAAGTACCCATAGTAATGATTGTAATGTTCAGTGTCACAATTCATATATTATTTATTCTTACTTTGCATCGCTTTTCAGAAAATAATCAAACCAACTTCGAAAGAACTTGCTTTTCGTGAGAAACATTTTCATGGTAGGTTAATCTTGCCTTATAATTTATGTATAAGCTTCGAATTTTTCACATGCATATAATTATGTACATGTACATATTATATATATATAGTATGTAACATATACATATATATATATATATATATATATATAATTATACATAAATTCCTCATAATGTGTATTTATATAGATATGAATATACATAACGATTCATATATATTTTCATACATATTGTCATACACACCCGCAAAAAAAATGGGCCACTAAGTTTTAGCACAAATTTTTAATATGTTCGAGTAACAATATCTAAGATTTCTCAGCCAGATCTTTCGTAGAATCGCTGCTTTATAATACATATATAAACATCTTTCGCGTTATTGTATAGGATTTACGATACGAATACACAATTCATGAATAATTATGTATTTATGCTAATTACATATTTCTGCGATATCCTACGATTTCGTGTAGATAAAAGTTAATAGGGCAAGTGGTATTGATCCTTCTTCCTAGTACGGAAGGAGTATTACATGATATTGAGTCATCCAACGCGAAAGGTGTGACTCATTCGTAAGCTATATTTCTTTCGTCGTGCATTGACCTGACACTGCCTCACAAGTAGATTCTGAGATCTTTAAAAAATGGTGGCGGACACTTGCAATAGCCTAGGTTAAATTA